GGGGGGGGGGGTTCGCTGGCTCAGGTGGGTCATTTCGGTGACTTTGGAGTTAACAGGTGATGTTCGATCTGTGCTTGTTGGGCTAAGTGTATAATCGTATGCAATCAACAGTGTTGGCCAACAACTCGGAGCAGAATAGTGGAGATTTCAGATTCGATCGAAACGCTGGTGTTCCAAAAAGTTTCTTCAGGATTCGTGGTTGAAGATTGTGATGACGGTGATGGTGATGATCACGATGTTGACGACGATGAAGGCAAATTCCAGTAAGGGTAGATCACCCATAAAGTACTTTTGGCAAACACAGAACCCCAATCTCTGACTGCATGCTATCCTCACCAATCAGACGGAGAAAAAATTTCCCCTGAACTACTAGACGGAATAATCAGAGCATGCACTGAGTAGTCATTCAAGGCTTAGGGCAAACTGAATCCTGTTTCCCGAGGCCAGCCGTCCCTAATCGCCGAACATCACGTCATTTGGACGGGTGTGTCACGTGCAGGACACGGACCAAGCCCTGATTGGTCAGAATTTCAGCCAATCCGGATCGAGCCTTTTATCACGACGCTTCTCGCCCTCACACGGAGATTCTAGCACGACCTTCTAAAACATTCTGTCGATTATAATGATTTTCCTTTGTCCCCATAAAGGGTTGTGTAGAACTACCGTGTCTTTTGATATACCGTAGTGGGCGGAGCAGGAAGCGAAGGGTCGGCTGTCTTTCGTATGAAGTTCCCTTCAGTACATGTGCATACCTCCCAGCCCCATGTTTTGCAGATGCCATTGCCAGTACTAACCGGCCTCAACTTCTTGGCTATGAATACAGCAAGCAATGTTTAGACGGTTTGTGCATAAATAAACTGCATGCTTTCTTCTTCTGATCTTTCTGAGTATCATTACTGACTCATATCCAGGTCACCGGAAAATTACTCTAATCGCGATGGAATATCCGAGAATGCTTTAATCAGCTTTCTGTTATATATTTTATGCCATAATACATTGTAATATAATAACAACCATAACACATATTTACTGCAACAAATTGTTCATACAACACAACATATAAATTAGAATATAGTAAACGTAATACCGCATGACACGTTTGACATGTATATAATATATTTGCTCGACGAAACATATTATTATTGGGTTACTGAAAACCCTTTGACTACCGGTCTTATCCTTATTGCAGCCCCAGCTTATATCAAACTTAAGCACTAAATTGTACGCAACTGCCGAAGTACACTCGTCTACAAAGTAACTAGGTGATAACGGGGACTGTGTCCGAAGAAGGATGAACCCGGACATGTGTCGAAAAGCTCTCAGCAACCTTGTGAGTAGCATCATACCCAATGAAAAATGAAGGGCATTTGTACAGTAGTCACTTAAAGGAAATCATAATTATGTAGCAAGATATACATAACAGATAATGTCACAAACGAAATACATTCATTTGCAAAGCGACTTGGTTTTGCGGGAGGCTCACCTGGAACCCAGCTGAATCCCTCGTTTGTGATGTTTACAAGACAATGTTATGCATTGAACACATAATGTTGTGCGTGTACGTTTTAGCACGTAATCGTACATGCGCAGGCCACATATTTCGAAGCCTGTACTAACTCTACCCTGAAAATATTACCATTTAATTTTATATCCGGCCTTATTCACCTCCTACGCAATGCAAACTTGCAATGAGGAGAACCAACGCCCGGTGTCCTGTTAATCCGGACATATTAGACGATGTACCACTGTCGGGCCTGTTCTCGACCCAATTGTCATCGAAGTACACCCAAATGTATATCGAGTTCGAGACTGCATGCTGAAAAATCCACCTCTGGAGGTGCATATAACCTACCTAACCAAAAGAATCATCCACTGGATGACGCAGCATCCCAATGGGTAGGAAGTTGAGCAGGATGTCCCTAATACTCGTGGGAAACTTAACGATGGGTCCATGAAATATTCGAAATGTTCTCTCTGAATGTCTCTCACTGAAGGATTTTGCTGCGTTCCACACACGAGTGAATTTAGGTGCCAGGGAGTAAAACCTCTGCCTTTGGTTGTCAGCTGATGTTAACGATGTTTTACTGACGTTTACTACCCTCCTCTGCATCGGGACTCCTCCTCCCCAGTGTTGGGCAACCTGGCATCATCCCAACCCTCGTGCTTTCTTCGGGTAGCACGGCAGCTAGGCACTGAAAGGGTGCTACAGCTGAGCGATTTATTAATTTTTTACTCCATACGGGGCCGAAAGTCCCACATTCATGGAACCACCCTTCGACAAGAAAGAACCCATGTCGGGGAGACATTTTGGTGGTCTCGAAGAGGTACCCTCGAGGCGGATGAGTACTACGCTACCGAAATGCACATTGCCTCGAGTAGTCTAACTTAATTTCAAATATAACCTTCTAGCGCATATTTCTAACGACAAATTGTAGATGCGACCGTTTGAGGCAGCCCCAGTTTAAAGGTACACATTGGCTGGTGTTACAAGGCCAAATCATGAAGTAAAGTACAGTGAACGACCCAAGAGAATCCCGCTCGATTAGGCAATCCACTTCCATGTGCAAAGTAGCGGTAGCGGTTGAACAGTCTAGATGGACTTCTGGCGAATACTCCAACTTTCTACGCCTTTGGATGGACGCAACATAAATCAAAATGGAACCCGCTGTTGAACTGGGCAACCAAATGATGAATCGAAGGGCGAATTAACTAGTAAGCACATCATTGGGACCGTCATTAGCTAAACTTAGGGAAACGTTCAAGTTCATCTTCCGTAGTTCCAGCCCACGGTTTGCCGAAATTATTGCGAAAATTCGTTTTGTGTTTCGTGATCTTGTGACCCCTTCCATAATTCATTTGACCACTTGCTGATGGTCACCGAATCGGGTGTATGTTTACTTGTTCCTGCGTTTGTCACTCGAACTGAGCTTCCACTTGTTTAAAAACACTCAGTCTGGTTTTGTCATTACTGTTCGTGCGTAACTGAATGGAGATTCATCTCGTAACGCTGGTCTTGCGATTAGTTTGACCATTAATAGGCGTGTCAGTTTGAAATACTCTGACATGTATGGTGACAACGACAGCTGAGCAGTGAATAGCTCGGAAATCAAACAAACGCAATGGAAAAAGCGACCGCCGACATGGCAAGTAGCTTTCAGGGTTACAACTGCAGCACCTTGTTGCCAAGTTACCAAGTCAACCAAGCAGAAGTAAACAATTTGGCTACGTGTTATACAAAGTCCCTAGGTTTGATATATTCTCGGATAGTGAAAACAGGATATACAGCTTGAAGCAAAATATTCGTCTCTGGCATCGAGTTGTGACAGTCATGTGAGGAAGAGCTTGTGGTTATCCGCGCCCTCCGCGATCAATACTTTTTACCCGAAACGGATGGCACCGTGAACTGTGTAAGCAGAACAGTGTTCTGAATCCCGACTGGAATCCGAACCAACAGCCTTCAGCTACCAGTGGGTGATCACAAATGCGACAAAGTCTAGTGGAAAATATGGGATTTATGTCGCCACCCAACACAACATGTGGCAGTGGGAGAACTCTGACTAAGATAGGCTGAGATGGGAAAATTTACATCGTGTTCGAAGGAAAAAAGATTGGTTGAATGGCAGTCGCCAAAATCAAGCAGCAACTAGCCATCGCGGAAACTTTTAGTTCAAACCAACTGATCAGGAGTACCCGTCACGTTCGTCACCCTCATCCAGCTGTACCCTCAATTCCTGGTGAAATAACCGACGTGCCTCACGAACATTTTCGATGATGTCGTATGCACGCCTGGCTATTTCCTCACCATGGACATGCCGTTGAATGAGCGTCTCCAAGTCCTGCAACGAAGTTACGAGAGAAGTGAGAGAAAATATCCACGATAAAGGATGTATTTCTCCTTGAAGGGTTGGAGTATTTTGTGAATAAGCAATGGTCTTTTTTTCATAAAGGAAACTACTCACAAGGTCGCTGAAAACTCTTCGACAGCCCACGAACGGTTTCGCCCTTCTTTGGCTCATCAGGTAAGCTCAGTCCCCGAGTTTCCATCAACCTTATGTTCCTTTATGAAAATATACCGCGATATCCCGAATATCGTTCCAACTGAAACATGAGGCGGCCTGTGTGCAGCACATTCAGTTTTAGAATATCATAAACGAGAGATTCTCTCGTGAAAACCAAATTGGTTTGCAAATGAGTGTATTTCTCGAAAACAGTCCAATTTGGGTTCAAGTAGAACATAAGGGCCATGACTGGGACACGCGGGGTGGACATAGTAGGATACATCGCATGTTAATCTTGTGAAGTTGTTCCCTACTGACCGTAATACAGAGCGCACAGCAAACATGAGCTGAAATGATCTCTCGATTCAATCTATAAAATAGATTAATCACAAAGCTTGAGAAATTTGAAGCAGTTTACCGACTATTCCTGGTTTTCTCACGAGTCTCGTACACGAATGGACGAGGATTTAACCAATTAGATACAGAGGTCCGTTAGAAAAGTAGGATGCGGTTAGCACCGATACAGGGAAATCCCCTCTATTAAGCAATCACAACATATAGGAACCCGAGGGACATTGCTTCAGCGAGCCCGAAATTTCTGCAACAAGTAGAGAGAAATTTGAGGCATCCCGTAAACGGCATTTGTTGGTTCCGAAACACTGAATGCCTAAAAATACTGCGCCATTTACCCACCCAAGCGGGACGTTACGACCTCCCGGTTACCGCCTAGTTTTCTCTTCGGTCCTCTGGGTAAGCAGTCGGTAGTTCGGTTTGCTGACCTACACTTTCTGATTCGCGGTTGATTCACAGCCGAACACCCTCTTGCGTATGTAGCAGATCCTTGCCACAGTATGAGATCGTATTCCACTTGTTTTACGGGGAACCGGGAAGTTAAGTCTACCAAAATACTGAGTGGTCAGTGACCAAACTTTGAGAGAATTGGGCCAACGATAGTGCACTGCTGTGCGATCGAAACTCAAATGCATAGGTGGTGGAGTCTTTTTTGCGACCACAAACCGGTAGACCACCTTCTTCGGTGGTTCCAGCCAAAAATTTCACCCCGCTCACCTTAAAGGTTTGTGGGTGAAGTTTGGGAAATCAGATCACCTGGTATCATATATTACCAGTAATAATCAACAAAACTAGGTCATTCAGTTCCTGCACGACATTATTACAGAAAACGGTAATTGTTCTATACTGGGAAAAACGCGCCCACAAATAAATAATTGCTTCTTCTGCAATTCTGCTAAATGGCAGTGTACATGCATACAAGAAAAAACGTGTTTGTATATCATTCAGGCTGTTTCCTACCAGCGGGAATGTATTGGCTGCTACAGAAGGAGAAAGGTCTGTAGACAGTGATCGGAAAAGCGGTGTCTTTGCGGTTTCAATGTCACTGCTGCTCACACGTAAAAATATGCGGATTTATTTAAATCCATTTTAGACAGCTAAACAACGGTTTCTTCGAGTTGAATTTGTCACATACTGTGGCTGAACACTAACAAGCTGATTCCATTTATTGATGCACCGAAAAGGTGGCAGAGGTGTGAGGAGCGAAGCGTAATCAGTCCAGATGTACATCCATCAAAAACGCTTTACGCTTCGTTGGTGCTGATAATGAAGCGCTCTCTGTAACGGGGTTTTGGTTCACGGTGCTCATTCGGGAGGTGGGAACAACAACCGCAGATACAAGTCTACCTGTATTTTTCTAAAGCGTTTGACACAAGCGGCCAGGCAAGTCAGACTCGGTAAAGTTCAAAGGCGGTGAACTAGACTGGTGTCGTCAATGATGACAGTGAAAACAATTCAAGCAGAGGACACGTGCGACCAACCACCGACGACATACAATAAGAGGTGAAGCATTACTCTAATATCAATAGATGTCTTGTGCTCACAACCTATGAAACAGGCAAAACACGCCACCACAATATACCTTAATAAGGGACAGATCAACCTGGTTATTTTGTGGTTTACTCTGTGGACACTCGCTGATCAAGAGGCGGTGCCGAGTGGTTTCAGTTGGCAGGGGGTTCAAATTGAGCATGCTAGGTAGGATAAGCGCGAACAGGCGATTGCGTGCAGTCATATTTGTCATGTCTATCCACACCTAGGAACAAAGGTCCGAGTGTTGTTCATTGATATCTATGTGTGCGCTGTAAACTGCACTGGTGACGACGTCAAGCTTCCTAGAAAGGCGAAACGCAGGGATTTCAATATCCCGGGAGAAAATTTAGACGTAAGAATCGATCAACACCAGTCGTCTTGTTGGTTTACGCACTTCTAGAACTTATTGTGGTGATTGCGTCCTACAACTGAAAGTTGATCAGCATCTGTTTTTTCGTAAGCATTATTCATCAAAACAACCCTGTACTTCCCGCTATTTGAATTCCCACTGAACGAACAAACAGCTGGCGCACCAGCGAATCGTGCAATGCGTCGAACCATCATTAGATTCCACTGGAACGTATTTTTCATCTAAGCACGACACATTTGACTGCATCGATGGAAATTGTTCAATGGTAATAAATCGGTACCTTTAACGATACCCAAGGCACCTGGAAACCCGATTCCGATACACTCACCTATAAACGCCTTTGATGACTGGAAGTTGTGATGAGTACAATCATCAAAAACAACTACATTTTAAGAGGTCGACCCAACACCGCCACGACTTTCCTACCCCCGAGTACTATCACGCAGGTAAACAGATACGCAAACTCAGTTGGACATTGCAAGCCTCTTTTGCTCAAAGACTCCACACAATAACTCAATAGTTTTCTCGTACTGCACCAATTGGAAATGAGCATGCCTATGCAAGTACGAAAGAAAATGTGGAACGAGTGACTAGGATCTAGTTGAAGCCTTGGAGCTCTTCCGCAAAAGAGACTTGGGTTGCGGAAGGGAGCACACACTATGGTCGCGGAAATTCCAACGTAAGATCAAAAGTACATTGTCCCTGTAGACAGACGATACGTTTCTTCCTATCGGTGGAGAAACTTTCGGCCTTGATTATGCTTCCATAGCACCGAAATTCACACACCAGATGCGGTCTTCGGCGCCGAAATCGCTTTACTAACCCTAGGTTTGTCTCTACATCTGGGCATTTATCATGCGTTCACAGCGCCGAATAAAACGTGTGAAGGTCAGAGTTTTATGCAGTGCAGCGACCACCTATCGTTGGAGTTAGACAATGATCAATAAGAATCGAAATCAATAAACGAATGTGATAAGGAGGGCTTTCCGAATAGTTGAGTCAGGTGAGCTTATAGGCAACTGCTCTAGGCTTACATGTGACATGAAGGTTGCCAAATTGTTGTCGAACTGCTCATAATTAACGTATATAACTCTGGCGAACCGCGTAAGACCCAGTATTTCATGACATGAATATTGTGACGCTCAGCCTAGCGAAATACACCCATTTGCATATCGATTTAGTTTTGTAGTAGTGTATTACGTGGTTCCCAGTCTATTTTGAGCCGTACTGACAACCTCTCGAGCAAAGCAAAGTAGATGAAATGATTATCGGGAGAAACGTGAGGACCTTGCAAACAATTATTTTAGATTTGAAAGGTATCATTTTACCCCTTTATTTTTGAACCATGTATGCATGTATGTATAAGACAGTAATCAACTTGATGGTGCTGAACCCTGAATCATTCGAGATGTAATCCTGGACGCTTTCACTTGGTCATCTTGGAATCCAAGGCAGTTATTATTACATCACCAGTGCGACTGACATAAAGACAAATTCGGAAAAACTATTCAACCGAGAAGTTGCAAAGAGGGAAGGATGGCTTGACGTGCTTCTCCCAACAAGATTTGCATCATGACTCAGAAAGGAAGGCGATCGAAAACCTTAAACCCTTAAGCTATGAAGGAGACGAGACTGAAAATCAAACAGCTATCCTCGATACTCTCAGAGAAGACCCGCCGAAATTATTATCACATCAAGCCTCCAACGAGCGAAGTAATTACAGCAGCTTCATGATTTCATAACTGTACTTTCCTGCTAAATTTACTTTTGACTTTACCCCGAAATGTCGTCGACTTTGGCATCTACGAGAGCAGCTCACTATACCAGCAGCTCACTTGATAGCTCATCGGTCAGGGCGCAATATTACTGACCGGAAGGTCCGTGGTTCGTTTCCATTGCTGCAGTCTAGTGTGTATCCAAGCGATAGCCATCAATAGATGGCTCCCCTCCCCATTCCTCCAGTTATAAGTCCACTGACAACCTTGTAGTTACGCACCAATTACATCAGCTACCGCCTCCAATGCGCAGCTATCCAAATCGGTGAGCAAAACGGCGGCACCTGAAAAAACTGTACGGCAAGTGTGCGGATTTTACAGCTGATGAAGGCGGTTTGTCAGTATCTTAGTCCTCGTCTTCTCTTCCAGTTGTACAGCAGCTATATGCCAAAAAGACGTAGTAGCCAACCGATCACTATTTAGAATTTCCCGTGACCTTGCGAAGGAAATAACTGGCAAAACCTTATCCGGCTTAGTTGATGGTCGCATCCACAGTCTTCTGATTTGATATAACAACCAAAGAATTTTTCTATCTTTTTAAGAACATTTCAATCAACTTCAAGCCCATGTAAGTGGCACGGTGTGGCTCGTTTGACGGAAAGTTTGGGACGATTCACGTGAATTCCTATAACAAGATGCATTATTTAGCACTCTTATATTGTCATCGTTGCTGCAGAGTAGTACTGTACACGAACGACGTGTGGTAATAGTATAAAGGTGGTGTAGAACAACGTGGGCTAAATAGGAGACCAAATCCGTTTGAAACTGGTGACCATTGGTATTCTTAGCTTATACAGTTTTGGGTGGTCGTTATAGAGAGCTTTTACTGTGGTCGTTCGACAGAAAAACGTATAAACAACTCGTCTG